TGCTCAATAAAGCTGGTGCAGCGCTGGGGCTGCTCGTGGTGCCTCCGAGGTGTCCGATGGCCCCCTGGCCACAGCGCTGGGTGACCCCTCCCGTGGTGCCTCCAAGGTGTCTGATGGCCCCCTGGCCGTGGTTCTGGGTGACCCCTCCCGTGGCAGGACCCCGGCTCCTGCCTGTGCCTGGAGCAGCCGCGTACTCAGGGAAGTCCCGGGTCAGCTGGCAGGGAACGTGCTGGGAAAGGCAGGGTGTTTATCCATCCCCTGTGGGTGGTGATCCCTGCTCACTCAGCCTGCTAATTAAGGGCAGATTAGTGATCAGTAGCTGAGGGGCAGGTCCCTGAGGTTGGGCACTTGACTGCAGCACTAGAGCAGTGCTGAGGAAGCGTCTCCAAAACACTTTCTTCAGCTTGGCAAAGCAGCACGACATCCCCAGCAGCCCCCACACGTCACGTTCCAGGTGTCCCCAGGGCCTGGATCAGTGTGATGAGCTCCTGGGAGGTGACACTGCGGCCTCAGCTGCACCTGCCCTGGGATACCTGTGCTCACATCCCTCTGGCAACATCCTGGTCCTTCTCAATCCCACAGTTCTGTGTGGAAATTCCCTGACCTCTTAAACAGAACCAGCACAGCATCCCTTTCCCCTTGGGTGGGGGGCAAAGACCCCCAGCCCCTCCCTGGCAGAGCAGCTCCTCCTCACCCCGGTGGACCCAGCCGAGCCAAAATGTGCCCAGGGTGGGCACGAAGCTGCCAAGTTCCTGTTTGGAACCTGGACCCTGGGTCCTGCCAGGGCTGGTACCTGCACACGGGGTCACCAGGCTGGGCTTGTTGTTGTGAGACCCGACTTATCAGTGCCCTCGTGCTTCCCCACTCCGGCCGTGCCTTCCTTCCGAGCCAATTGTTGATCCCAAAGTCTTGTCTGCACTCGAAAAAGGAGATTTCCTGCAATTGTTTCACAGGACTTGCAGCTCGATGCAAAATTTTCTGCCTATCAGCCCCCTCCCCAGCACCAGGGCAAGGCTCGGGCCCCCTCCCTTCCCCTGCCAGACAGCAGGGCAATCACAGCTCCGTGATTAATTGCTGCCCGGCCAGAGGTGCTTCTGTGGTGACATCCATCTGCCATTGGCTGCTGTGGCAGCACTGCCTGGGCAGAGAGTTCAGCTTTCAGCCTTTTTTCCCCCAAATGAAACCCCGAGCTCACCTGGGTATCGTGGTGGCATCAGGGACAGCTGCTGGCACCTGTCCCACCACCCACCCTTGCAGGAGTCCCAGTGCCGGGGCAGGACCCGGCCTGGAAAAGTCCATCCCAGAGGATGAATTTTCCCTACAGCAGGATCCAGGCAGGATCCAGCCCCCGAGCCCAGCAGGGGGATTGTGGAGGGGACCCTCCAGAAGCCTCGGGGACCCCCCTGCACCCCCACACCCCCCGGCACCCGCGGCTCCCACACCGACACCTGCCCGGGGCCTCCCCGCCCAGTCCTGCGGCCAAATCAAAAGGGAGCCGAGCCCTGGGGCTGGAAATCCAGCCCAGTGTCACCCACGCTGGGCTGTCTCAGGATGTTGGACCACGACAGTCATTTCCTGCCGGGAAGCAGCACCAAGCCCACCCCGAGCTCTGCTCTCCAGAGGCGCCTGAGCTGCTGAGCCGAGAGGATCCCTGCGCTCCCAAGCAGCAGGTGAGCAGAGCTGGCCCTCCTCCCTCGTGTCCATCTGTCCCTTCTGTCCTCCTGTGCTCCCTCCCATCCCTCTGTCCCCTCTCCCATCCCTCTGTCCCTTCTTCTGTCCATATGTCCTCTCTCCTACTATCTCTCCCTGGTCCCATGGGCCTCTCAGGACCTGCAGTGTGGAGAGGGTGGGAGGTCGGGGAGCCATGGGAAAGGCATGTCCAGCCTCTCCATGGTTTTGGGAGTGGGTGGGTGCCAGCCCATTGCCACAGGGATGGCTCTGGTGGGGGACTCTCAGCTGGGGCACTCCTGGCTCGCTGGGGTCCAAGTTCCACAGGAGCACCCCGGCAGCCCAGCATGCTCCTCCAGCTTTCCCAGGGGAATGGCTGGTCCTGAGCTCTTCTAGGTACAGGGCTGGATGGGTTCTGTGGCATCTTTGCCACGCTGATGCAGCTGTACTGGGATCAGAGCTCTCACTTGAGGCACCAAAGGATGTTGAGGTCAACTGCATTTCCCTCAACTTTATAATTTTGTCACCTACTTGGAAGTCCCGACGGCTCCCGGCAACGCAGCCCAGACAGGCAGAGCCAGCGAGGGACCACACTGAGTGCTCGGGAAGGGGATGGGGCCTTTCCTGCTGGAGTGGAGTCTGGGGCACAGTCACCGGGGTGTTCAGTGGCCTGGGCACCAGCCCATGCCCCTGGCCAGGCTGTGGGACAGGGACAGCCACCAATGAGGCTGATGTCTGTGGCTGGCACTTAGTCTGACATGTGAGGGGATCACCTGGGCAGACACGGCATCTTCAGAGGGTTGATGTAGGGAGTCACCATAGGACTAAAAATTGGGTTAAAACCCCCCAGAAGGGTCTGAGCCCCACGCAAGGACCGAGTTCTGCGTGTTCAGACTCTCCAGCTCAGTGCTCTCCCTTTCCCTGCAGCGCCAGGATGGCTGAGATGACCACGGCCCCCTCTGAGACACACACTGTCCCCAGTGAGTACGGGGACTACCACAACTGGTCCGAGCTGTTCCACCTCCTGAACCACACCTACACCTACTGCGAGTTCAGCCTGGACGAGAACATCAAGCGGGTGATCCTTTTCATCCTTTACCTGCTCATCTTCGTGGTGGGCTTGGTGGAGAACCTCCTTGTCATCTGGGTCAACTGGCAGACACGGGGCAACAAGAGCTTGGTCAACCTCTACATCATCAACATGGCCATCGCTGACCTCGGGGTGATGCTCTCGCTGCCCATCTGGATGCTGGAGGCGATGCTGGACTACACCTGGCTCTGGGGCAGCTTCCTCTGCCGCTTCACACACTACTTCTACTTTGCCAACATGTATGCCAGCA